AATTTTGTTAGGGCTTCATTATAACACCATATCACAGACACTGATAGCACGTGGGGCCGTGCATCTCAGATTAAACATTGTTAAACGATCCCTTTAATGCCTTACCAAAAGGCACGAACATATCGACTTGGTCTCTAATCCGAGACCTCCCGACTACGAGACCAATCTCTACCACTTAGTCATATCATTCCTCCTAAATGTTGTCCCGAAAGTGCTTTGCCTGCTTTGCCAAATATAAATCACAGGGCATCAATTTTCATTTAATCCAGCATTAAAAAACGGGTCAGTTTCAGCAACTAACCAGATGGACTTACCGTTTACTGAATCCCAAACATGGGAAACGATGTCTGGTTTCACTTGATAAGGGCTGATGGCCAAGGTAGCGTGTGGTATCCTGATCTTAACAGGTCGGTGGAAGATCATGTTTGGAGGGTCACATCTGATCCCGTAGCAGGACACTGATGAATCATCTTGGATGTCAACACTTGGAATGTCTCGTAAGAGAGTTAAGGTGATCTTGCACGGGTCACTCTGCCGAACAGCCTCCGGAGGAATAAACATTGATACGCCATGGTCTTTAAGTTCAATATCATGACTGGTATTCATTTCGACTTCAACAGAGACGATGGAAGGTGTAGATGTTTCATCTGTTGTTTGTTTAAAACATAAGGAAATAAATACATATACAAGCAACGAAGTAAATGTGTATGGAGATCGGGATGCTCGACTTCTCGAAAATTCGTTGGGCGATGCCTAAATTCCAGCGGCGACCGAGCAGGCTACAATTCGCCGCTCTGAGTTGTGACCATAGCTTAAAGGAAAAGTTGAGTTCTGTTTTAGGACCGCAAATATCTTCAAAGTGCATGGTTATTGCTCCTATTCTTATCTATGACATTTCAAGTGCCTTTTTAGGCCTTAAAATTGCTATGAAGGTAATTTTGGACCCCAAAATGTGTGAAATTTAGCCAATACGATCATACTAATTCAACTCCACTATCAACAAAATACGGTGACCGTCAATTAATGAATTAATTAATAATAACAATACATGGGCCGGCTGGCTGTGCGTAATATAACCAGCATGAAAAGGCTAACAGAAAAGCCAACATCGGCATTGGCTGAAATACAATGTAAAGGCGCTGTTTCGTTTTATCAACGGCTTTTTCAAATTATCGAATATATGTGGTGGTACACAAATATTAGAAATCGTTATATTTATGGATATTTCAGCCTTCTCTGAACCGATTTTGATCAAAAAAAGATGATTTTGTCATTTAAATTGTATGTTCTTTCAAATTTGACACTCAGTTTTTCATTTTCTCTCAAAAAATATTTTGTATAGCGCCCTCTGCAACAGAACTCAACTATCCATTTAACGGGTAAGTGGATGAGTTGTCTGTGCGCCAGTAAATTACCCAAACAATATTATACAGATATTGTCCTACAGGGGTGTAATATTACATTCTTTGGACCACTGAAGGGAATCATATTTTCCCAAGTTGTTATATTTACCCGAAGCGCGCAGCACTGAGGGTAAATATAACTTACCAACAACAAAAAATTACACACCAAAAAAACAAATTTGGAAAAAACTATTTCAAGGAAAAAAAATCGAGAAAAAAAAAGAAACAAAAATTGACCCTCGGTATTGGTGTAATGTTTGTTGTCGGTTACATACAGTCCTCAAGAGAGCGACATCATTGATACAAAATATTTTCATTTCATATAACACTGGACAGTGACCGGACAGGAAAATATAACAATTACGACCCTCACAATTGATATCACCCCAATAAAAAAATTTACGTGAAAATCACGTCAATATCAAGGTATCGACTTGAACAGATTTACGTTCTTCAAACACTTGACATTTACGTGATTGTGTTTACACGTTTCTTGCACTAGGTCACTTATAAAACACGTACACTAAATCACGCAATTGTCACTGGAATATCACCATTATCATAACGTGATTATCCCTACCTTGGAGACCTTGGTTTGTAAACCTAATACTCCAGTTTTTGTTTGGTTATGAAATTACATCTTCATAAACGAAATTATCACATTCTTTAGAAGTTTTATAATCGTGTCACAGAAACCGTGATGGGTTAGTGATATTTTGAGTCAAAATATCTGCGTGAAATTCACGTGAATATTAAGAGGCTGACTTGAGATGAATCATGTTCTTCATTCACGTGAAATTTACGTCGAAGAGGAAATGTGTTACTGTAATCCGCGTTCAACCCAATAATTACGCAAATGTTATACAATAAATGAACCAAAATAAAGACGTTCTCATCCCGTTTTTTGAACATCGTGTTTTGGATCCTCCATAATCACGTCCAGGCGCGCCGGAAGCAGTTTGGGATTAGAGGGGGTGAGGGGACGGGGGGGGGGGGGTGGGTGCAAACACCCCAGAAGAAAAAGCTAGTTGCAACTGGTCCAGTTGATGAACCAGTTAATGCCAACTGGTTACCCTGGAAATTGAATTGGGCTAAGTGATCCAGTTGATCCAGGCCAGTTAGAATTCAACTGGTCTAGCTGAGCCAGTCGAACCATTTGGTAAAACTTCCAACCAGTTGAACGGCAACAACACTTCAAGACTGGTACGTCTGTATTTCCAATGTAAAGGGATTGGTAATAAGTACACTTAAATTATTTTATTAATCGAATTTTTTTCATATACTTGTATTTTATTGAAATTATTTTAGTTCATAGTTAATGTTTCCCTTATTCATGTTTAATCAAATACAATTCATACGAAGTAGAGAAATGTCCTAATAAGTGGTAATTTATATTTGTAGTATTTTCGAAATAAATTGCATATAACTAAATCATCAGTAATTAAGAAATATGCTGTAAATTCAGATAAATTGTTAAAAAAAGCATAGATCTGCACGCATATCATATTGAATATGCAAATTAATTGGTGTCAACTGGTGCAACAACTGGAAATATGCACACAGACCAGTTATCAACCGGTGCAATGAAAATATGCCAACAGTCACGAGATTATCACCACGAAACTTAAATTGTATTTGTGAAACCATCAAGACACCCAAGAATAACTCATTTTTCACACCTAAAAAATCACAGATTCACACCTAAGATTAGTAATTAGTGCAACCGGTGCAATGAAAATATGCCAACAGTCACGAGATTATCACCACGAAACTTAAATTGTATTTGTGAAACCATCAAGACACCCAAGAATAACTCATTTTTCACACCTAAAAAATCACAGATTCACACCTAAGATTAGTAATTAGTTTGAGTCACGAGATCATCAGCGCGGAACTTATGGCGACTTTGACTACCATTTAAAAAGGTGTTTTAAGACACTTAATAATGTCAAATTGTTCACACCTAAATATCACGGATTCACAGCTTAGATTAGTAATCAGTTTTAGCCACGTGATCATCACCAAGAAAGTTATGGTAACTTTGAAACCCTTTAAAAGGGCGTTTTAAGACACCTTATAATGACTAATTTTTCACACCTAAAAATCACGGATGCCCAGCTAAGATTAATATTCCGTTTGAGCCACGAGATCATTACCGCGGAACTTATGGCAATCTTGACTACCATTTAAAAAGGTGTTTTAAGACACCTAATAATTACAAATTTTTCAAACCTAAAAATCACGGATGCCCAGCTAAGATTAATATTCCGTTTGAGCCACGAGATCGTTACCGCGGAACTTATGGCAACCTTGACTACCATTTAAAAAGGTGTTTTAAGACACCTAATGATTAATAATTTTTCACATCTAAACATCACGGATTCACAGCTTAGATTAGTTATCAGCTTGAGCCACGTGATCATCACCAAGAAAGTTATGGTAACTGTTAAACCATTTAAAAGAGGTGTGTAAGACACCTCATAATTACTCATTTAATACAACCAGAGATTCACGGACAAAACAATAAAACGATTAGCCGGTGTAAGTAACGTGATTATTACCGTCAACCTTGGATAACATGTGAAACCAATCGATAAAGGTGCTTAAAAGACCAAATAATTACTTATTTATCACCACTATCGATTAACGGTTAAAAAAACTCGTTGCTTGGTCAAGTGGTTATTTGGTCATAAACACTTAATTTACAGAGGTAAGTGGAATCACGTTACTCCAGTCGCGTGATAAATTGGTGGTTTTTAGGTGAGATGAAAACGTGAACAGGAGTACCATTTTTTGTTAAATGAAGTCACGTGTCGATAACGTTTAAATCTAGTTCAAAAGGCACCTTACTTTAAAATCACTTAAAATACACTCCAAAAAGAGGTTTTTCATTTCATTTATTCAACCAGTATTACAATGAAAACATACAATATACAATATAATGTATATTATTCAGTGTTCTGTTTATTGGGATGTGATAAGCTCTGGACCAATCACATCTCGGTATCTGTCCAAGCTATCTAATATATATATTTAATTCCTTCTTCTTTCAGATCGGAAATTCTAAAATACCACATTTTAAAATCATTATGCTGAAAAAAGCTGTTTGTGTTTTAAGAATGTTCTTACCTCGATAAGACTCGATCTCCTTTAAAGAAGGTACTCTGAAATTAATCATACGTAAACAAATTGTTAAGTTGTTTCTATACAATTCGGGAAAACACCTATCCATGACAATTTTCGATTTAAGGCGAGGCTTAAACTTATCATTAGGTATAACATGAAGAAACTAACACATACCTTTGCACTTGGTAATGTCGTAAACTACAAACATATAAAGGACTACGGTAAACAAACGTGGGAGAAAATGTGAATCGTTTACCTGACTAGAAAGAAAACAGAGATAGATTAGTCGACCTTGTAGTCCTGAATTAGAAGCCCTGAACAAATTAAGGGTTACTAAAGAATGTAAGATCTTATTGTCCCACTAACACATCTTCTGAAAAATAAACCATTCCTTTACCAAATCTCAAAAAGTACGATCTCTTTTGCCCCCAAACTGACAGGGAAATTGATATTCCTTATGAAATGGAAGAATCACCTCGACAAAATCATCTGTTTGACCACTTCGCCCTTGGCATATTGGATTGGTAGATTGCCTCTCTCATCCTTTACATCTACCTTGGCTCCATTCTCTAGGAGATAAAACACCAAGGCCTTCTTAGGAGATAGTTCGCCCCCGTACCACTCATCGGAGATCTTAAACAGAAAACAAATATATTTGTTTTTCTTAGTACATTATCGTCCATCAATAGTCAAGGTGGACGAGCATCACAAGGATGGTTTTACGCTTCCTCTTGGATTCACAGTAGTATAAATCCCTATTTACTTGTCAACTTCCCCATACACACAAAGTTTGCAAACACACAAACATACATCAACGTACACATTTTCTTGGACCAACCACGGGTTTCAGATTCTAGGATTCGCTAATGAACTAACAGTATATGTCAGTCGCACTGCTAGTACGACTCCATGTAGACTCCAAACATGACCATTGTTTTGCCGTAATGGTGGGTTCCCACTGCCGATCAAACCAACCCAACCAAGCCCGATCATGCCCGATCACCCATTTTCCCCCGACCAATCCCGACCCCATGCCTACACACAAGCTCTTCCCGGCCGCTATTCGACCATTGACGACACACATTCGACCATTCACGACTCCTGCACGACGTATAGTCGATCACAGCTTCGATCTCTTCTCAATCATTCCGATCTACATACAATCCCAACGCGATCCCTACTAGACCAAGTAGACGTACACACGATCTCTACACGATCTCGACCCAATCAGATCGACCTTTTTCGAACAGGGATCAAAGATGCCTCGTGAATAGAGTGGTTGCACAAAATATTATCGTCAGCTGATGGTACATTACTCAATTTGTATCAGCGTTCAGTTCATCTCAGATACTTATGTAAATGTAAAGAGATGTAAATCGAACAGTTAAAGTGTTGTGGGCAGTGGCAGATCCAGGGGGGGGGGGGGGGTTGAGCCCGGGGGTTGGGCCCCCTGCACTGTAAAAAAGAATTTGTTCATTGGTAATTTTTACGTATTTTTTCCATGTAGAATTTACTTGAAAACATTAGTTTTGCCACTTACGCACTAAATTTAAGTCTTGCTAACTCAAACTTTCAATTTAGTAGAACATACGTGGAATATTTAAGTAAAATCAAATACATAAGAACTTTAAGTAATTTCAGCTTGTATTAATTTAGTAATTTTCACTCAAAATCAGAAATTATACGTATTACTCAAACAATTTATGTTGATTATTCTTATCTTTTTAAAGTAAGGACCGAAGCAGTGCGTAATAGAAATATTTACATAATTTATGAATATTCATTAAGACCAAATTAAACTCTTTTTTAAATAAAACAATTCTTTTTTGTGGTTGAATGAAAATTTAAGGACTTTAAACATTTACTAATTCATTTAACATGGCTAAGCAAAGACAAGACAATTTTTAATTGTTACCCAGTTCAAAACAAATCAAAACTTGATATTTCAGGAAATTGTCAACCAATTTTCCTTTTAAGATGCTACGATCAAGTAAATATAAAATTTGGAGCCTTTCAATATGTGTCGAATTGAAGCGTATGTAATAGTTTGTGATGGTGGTAGATATATATGTACGGTTAAATAGAAGTAGTGAATGATTAGTGGATGTTACTTGTTAGATTAGATGGGTACCAAATCGTGCAATATGTAATCCTATCATAGCTATTTTTTAATTATCTAAAATGATTACAATACTTAAATTATTTACGTTAATGTAACTCGATTTAACTGAGTAAAAATTTATTCAGCAAAATAAGTAAATTCTACTTAAAGGTACTATGTCCCTTTTGCATCCAACCTCAAATGCTGTAGAACTTTGCAGGAATTATGAATATGTCATGTATGTCCTATCTGTGAAATTTAAACCTTAGCAGCGTCCTCATATTCAAAGTATGCAAGGAAACCCGTTTACTTGCTAGACTTCACTGTCAGACACTATTGAGTGACTGACTGGCTTTTTTCTTCTTTGGTAATAACATACATGCAAAGAGTTGTAAAGGGTACATGAGCATTTGTCTATATCAATATCCCACTTCTTGTGATGGCCAAGATTAAACTGATTGAATCTTTGCGTAGCATAAAACGTATGACCATTCGGTACAATTGTCTGAAAATCAAGACTATTACTTTTGGGCTCTATAGCCCTAAAGTCGATTTGACAACTAATAGTCGTTATTTTCCCACTTGAAGACATTTTTAAGCCCCACCTTTTTTAGGGAAGTTCTAAATTAGTATTATCTTTCAAATGCAGTTGGAATTTAACTTTTTCATTTTTTGGCCTGGAAATGGGACATAGTACCTTTAAGATGCCGTAGGTAATATTTACTTAATAAAAATAAGGCAATTCTTTTCCTCAATTTTATTGAGTTATTTCGACTATTATTTTTTACAGTGTGGCAACAAAAACAAAGAATGTGTGCTGAAGAAATCAATACAAAAAGTCTTCCCCCCCCCAGCCACTGAAAAAAATATCTGACGACATAAATTTCCAATTTCCGGCCCCCCCCCCAAAAAAAGGCTCCTCTGACAGTGATTAAATGCCTTAAAACCCCTAAGCTTCCGGGGACTCTGCCTTGGATTTCACCTTGGGCCCAAAGTCAGGCACCTGGATGCTCATCTGACGTTTATTTAATGCTTAAAACCCCTGACTCCAATTCGTGGCCTGCCAGTGTCACCAATAAGTTTTCAAAATATGTTCATCTTACCGTAATTAAATGCCTAAAACCCCTGAGCTTCTGGGGGCTCCGCCCCCTGGACCCAACACCAATTTTTGACCTGCCAGTGTCACAAATAAGGTATCAAACTATGCTCATTTGACGATAATTTAATCTATAAAACCCCTGATCTTCTGGGGCTCCGCCCCCTGGACCCCACACCAATTGGTGTCCTGCCAGTGTCACAAATAAGGTATCAAAATATGCTCATCTGACAGTAATTAAATGCCTATTCCCCCAGAGCTTCTGGGGCCCCCAACCCTTGACCCCCGCCATGAAACGTTCAGCGGGGCCTGCATGTAAGAGTGGGGTGATGGCGATTTTTTTGTCTACCCCCCCCCAAACGTTTTTGCCATTTACATACCAATATTTGGCTCACATAATTTCAAATTTGGGCTCCCCCAAGGAATTCCTGGATCCAGGCGCGGATCCAGGGGGGGGGGGCCGAGCGTGCCTTGGCCCCCCCCCCCCCCCGCAAAAAAAAAAAAAAAAAAAAAAGGAGAGAGAGAGAGAGAAGGAAAAGAAGGAAAAGAGGAGAAAGGGAAAAAAAAGAAGAGGAAGAAGAAAAGAAAAGAGGGAAAAAGGAGATCGGAGGGGGGTAGGACTTGCCCCTTCCCCCCCCCCCCCCCAATAAAAAAATAAAAGAGAAGAAAGGAAAGGGAAAGAAAAAAGATAAAGAGGAGATAAAGGGAAGGACAAAATAGGAAGAAGAAAAGAAAAGAAGGGGGATATCAGTTGCAATTTTCCCGCCAACAAGTTATGGATCGAGGGGGGGGGGCAAAAGACCCTAACCTCCCCCCCCCCCCCTCCCCGCTAAAAAAAGAGAGAAGGAAGGAAAAGGAAAAGAGGAGAGCTAAAAGGGAACAAAAAGAGGAAGAAAAAAGAAAAGGGAGTAAAGAAGCGGAGATCAGTTGCGGTTAATCCCGCCAACAATTTGTGGAGCGGGTTGGGGACCAAAATAACCGTCTCCCTCCCCCTCCCCCCCCCCCAGCAAACCTAAAAGAGAGATAAGGAAGGGAAGGGAAAGTGAAAGAGGAGAGAAAGGGAAAGGAAAAAAAAAGAGAATGAAAAAAGGTAAGGGATATCAGTTGCAATTTTCCCGCCAACAAGGTGTAGATCGGAGGGGGGGGGGGGGCACTGGCATACTGATAGGGGAGGGGGGGGGGGGTTGGAGAAATAGAATTCAAACGTGGTTTATTTATAATTCCATAACGGTGGTTAACAAATAATGCTGAAATGAGATAATTTTCCTCACTTCATGCGTTTGTTGGAAAATGACAAATTCCTAAATTTACAGCCAGGCAAGAAAATGCTTCTTGAGATGCCTACATATCAGGGCCCGCGGAGCGGCGGGGATCGGGATCCTCGAGCCCCTCCCCCACACTTTCTTTGGAAAAGTATATTAAAGAGAAATAGAAAGAAAGAGAGCGAGAAAGAAAAAATAGTTAACTGCCAGTGTCACATTATAATGGGGTATCAAAATATGCTCATCTGACCATGATTAAAATTAATGCCTAAAATCCTAAGGGCTCTGCCCCCTGGATTCCACCTAGGGCCTATAAAGGCGGGCCCTCAGATGCTCATATGACGGTCATTTAATGCCCAAAACCCCTGATTTCTGGGTGCTCTGCCCCCTGGACCCCACGCCAAATAGTGTCCTGCTAGTGTCACAAATAATAAGGTATCAAAGATGCTCATCTGACCGTAATTAAACGCCTAAAACCCCTGAGCTTCTGGGGGCTCTGCCCCCTGGACCCAACCAAGAGCCCTTAGGCGGGCCCCTCGATACTCATCCGACCGTAATTGAGTGCCTAAAACCCTTGAGATTCCGGGGCTCCGCCCCCTGAGCCCCAAGCCAATTAGTGACCTGCCATTGTAACAATTAGGTATCAAAATAATGCTCATCTGACCGTAATTAAATGCCTAAACTCCTGAACTTCCGGGGCTCTGCCCCATGGACCCCGTCTAGGGTGCTAAGGCGGACCCCTGAATGCTAATCTGACCGTAAATTAAAACCTTAAACCCCTGAGCTTCCGGGGCGGACAAGGTATCAACATTATGTTCATCTGACAGCAGGCGCGTAGCCAGGGGGGGGGGGGCGGTGGGGTGGTCCCCCAATAAACGCCTGCCAAAAAAGAGAGGAGTGTAAAGGAAGAGGACGTAGGAGGACGCGGGGGAGGGCAGGGGGAACTTAATTCAGACGAGGATAAATTTCGGGAACGGTACAACGAATCGTCTTCTGTCTTTAATGATTTAATGAAACGTAAAAGCTTCGCGTGGAAGGGGGGAAACTGAATTTAGACAAGGATTAAAGTCATAACGGTACAACGAATCGTCTTATTGCGCTAATGATTTAATGAAACGTAAAAGTTGTATTAATTCAGACGAGGATTATTTTCGAGAACGGCACAACGAATCGTCTTTTTTCTCTAATGATTTAATGAAACGTACAAGCTTCCGCGCTTCGCGCGAGAGGGAGGAGGGGAAAACTGAATTCAGATGAGGATTAAGAGTCGAGAACGGTACAACGAATCGTCTTCTCTTTTCTAATGATTTAATGAAACGTAAAAGCTTCCGAGCTTTGCGCGGGAGAGGGGGATGAATTAAGACGAGGATTAGGAGTAAAAAACTGTACACCGAATCGTCTTCTTTTTCTAATGATTTAATGAAACGTAAAAGCTTCCGAGGTAGGGGAAAAACTATTTTCAGACGAGTAGGCACGTACGGAAGGGGGGGGGGAGGGGGTTAGGGGGTTGACCCTCCCCCCCCCCCCCCCCTTCGGTTTTTTTTTTTTTTTTTTTTTTTTTTTAATTTAAAAAAAAAAAAAAAAATGCCAATGGCTGACCTAAAAAAGGTGACCTCACCCCTCCCCCAACGGAACAAAAAGTCATTTTTTTTAAATTTCGAGACCCCCCCCCCAAAAAAAAAGTGTCCTGTTCCCCCCCCCCCCCCCCTCGCTTATTTAGCGGCTGGCTGAGTCGTTACGATTTTTTTTCGGACCCCCCCCCCCCCCCAAAAAAAAAAAAAAAAAAAAAAAAAAAAAGTGGCCCCCCCCCCCTAAGAAATCCTGGATCCGCGCCTGCCGTGTCGTTATAATATGTTACTACCAATTCTAGAAGCGATTAACTTAACTAGTATTAATATGCTGGTACGATTTTTTTTTTAGATGAGCACGTAATTGCGTCCTTGGTTGAGTTGCGATCGGAAAGATCGAGAGCGGTCGAGAAGTGCGCGATTTCGGTCGAGTAACTGTTTTTAGGGCAGACATGTACCGATTGTGAAGCAGTTGAGTTGTTGATCGAGTTGATCGGGAACCAATATTGTAGAAGTTGTATATAAATCGAGATGATCGGGTAGTGATTGGCGGGAAAAATCCACCCCGACCAAACTAGACCTCTATACGATCGATTCCCAATCAGCTCGACCTCTACTCGACCAATACACGATCGCTGTACGATCGCTTGCCTTCTCGACCCCTACACGATATTTTTTGACATGCCAAAAGTTGTCGTGTAGGAAGCCAGACCGATACCGATCAATGTAGACCGACCCCGATCAAGGTAGACCGACCCCGATCAAGGTAGACCGACCCCGACCGCCCTTGCCGACCGAGCCCGACCAGGCCAAAATAGCTTGATCGGGCTTGGTCAGGTTGGTTTGATCGGCAGTGGGAACCCGCCATAATGTACTTGTTCTTCAGACTCTCGTCGGTCTGTTGTCGGTCTCGTTGGTGTTTCAGGACAATTACTCCCTGGGCAATCACCCCCGGAAAACTGCTCCCCCCCCCCCGGAAAAATACCCCCCCCCTGATAATTACCCCCCGAGTACAATAACCCCCCCCTTCCCCCGAGAACTACCTCCCGAGATAAGTTTTCCCCCGAGGACAACTACCCCCGAGGACCATTACCCCCCCCCCGAAGACATTTACTCCCCGAGGAAAATTACCCCCCCCCCCCGAGGACAACTACCCCCGAGGACCATTACCCCCGAGGACATCAACCCCACGAGGACAACTTTCCCCAAGGAAAACTATCCCAGAGAACAACTACCCCCGAGGACAATTACCCCCTCCCCGAGGACAAATATCCCGAGGACAACTATCCCCCGTGGACAACTACCCCCGAGGACAATTACCCCCCTCCCGAGGACAACTACACCCCGAGGACCATTACCCCCGAGGACATCAACCCCACGAGGACAACTTCCCCCCGAGGAAAACTATCCCAGAGAACAACTACCCCCGAGGACAATTACCCCCTCCCCGAGGACAACTATCCCGAGGACAACTATCCCCCGTGGACAACTACCCCCGAGGACAATTACCCCCCTCCCGAGGACAACTACACCCCGAGGACCATTACCCCCGAGGACATCAACCCCACGAGGACAACTTCCCCCCGAGGAAAACTATCCCAGAGAACAACTACCCCCGAGGACAATTACCCCCTCCCCGAGGACAACTATCCCGAGGACAACTATCCCCCGTGGACAACTACCCCCGAGGACAATTACCCCCCTCCCGAGGACAACTACAACCCCAGGACCATTACCCCCGAGGACAACTACCCCAAAGACAACAACCCGACGATGACAAATACCCCCCCCCCCGAGGACAACAATCCCCAAAAACAATCACCCCAGATGAATTTCCAACACTGTGACGCATAATTTGCGAGCTTCTCTTCTAAATGCTATTAACAGAAAATATTATAAGCCTTCATTTTCTTCGTTATTTATGAAGTTCAGTTCAGTCTTTTCAAATTATGCAATTCGATGTGGGGGGGGGGGGGGGGGGGTGGAGGTTGCCCAATTCCCCCGTAAAGAAATTACATAGTACTCAGAAATTAAACAAAACATTGCGCGCAGATGAGTACGCGTTACAGCCTCTCTCACTAAAAACAAAGAAATAATAGGATGTAAGATTTCATTTACGCATCCTCTGCAACTGTTTTAATCAGCTGATCGTGCATTTGTCTTTGTATAATAATGGGCCCTCATCCATGATCCGAAATTACGGTTTTCCTCACGTTATCAATATATTTTTGTTGTCATGCTGAAGTATCATTTGTTTTCTTGAACGTTAAATTATTTTGAAATAGAAATTGCCTTCAAGTTATATGAACGGTGCCATGTCAAAAGGAAATAAATATCCGCTCTCTGTCAAATCATCTCATTCAACCAGGGTCCCGCAAGAGAATGTTAATTATTTTTGTAAAACGTTAATTTTGTTCAAAAACAAATATCAGTAACGGTTAGAGTATGTAATAACATGAGAAAAAAACATTTTAAAGATATTAACGTGTCTTCTTTCCTCGCTCGCTGACAATATTTTGATAGCAAGGCGCTCAAATATATATTATCTCTCTTATTTCGAGATTACATTGTTACTACACTCATTACGTTTAAAAACATGATAAATCAGGGCAGCGAGAGACCCGAATATCCTCATATTCGTGTATCAATGTCATGACCGAATACATCACTTTTTATTCATGTTCATTCGGCGGTAAGGTGCGTACTTTAAATCTTTTATAGTGTGTTGATTACAATTTTTTTTTTATCAGTTTAAAAAAAAAAGACTTCTCCTTTTTTATTCTTAAATTTGCCCATACGTGTGTACATAGCACTTGGCGAGTGCCAGAGTCATGCAAAATGAAAAGTCTGTGAAGACTTTGGGATATGGGAGAACCTTTCATTTCTTAAAAGGGTACCGTGACTAACAAAAAGTTGAAATAACGCAGCTCCAGAGAAATGTATTTCTATGCATTTTGAGAAGCGCTGGACGATTACCTAAACTTGAGGCCCGGTCGCACAGAGGGGACGCATGGGGGGGGGGGGGTGCACGGCCGGCACATTGAAAATCGGAAAAGTCGTGATTCCGACTTTTGTCAGGATTCGGAAGAAGCTAGCGAGCTGACACCGAATGCATAGCTTGTTGCTAGCACGGTGCGTGTATTCAGGGCGTGTGCTCCACGTATGTCTGGCGTTGGTCTAGCGTGCTCCGCACATGTCTGGCGTCCCTTTGGCGTCTACATTCATGCGTCGAGCTCCGCGCACACTTTTGAGCATGCCCAAAAAATCCCGACGCACACAGCAAATGACGACGAATGAATAGCGTTGATCTAGCGTTGGTCCAGCGCGCTCGACGAACGAGTAACGAATGATGACGCACATCTAGCGGACGACAACGCACTGGCCAAATTGCAAATTTACAATGCGCTGGCCGTGCGTCCCCCATGCGTCCCCGGTGAAAATCAGAAACAGCACTGGCGTTGCATAAATTATAATTAAAGGGAAATGTGTAGTAATGAGGAAGACAACGTGCTATAGTATTTGAACGAATATGGGTTCATGCAGGGAATCGTATTGGCTCGCAGCCATCTCTCAATGTGTCAGATCGTCTTTTGCTATTGAATCCTGATTGTCCACGGGGGGTAGTTGTCCTAGGGCTAACAGTCCTCGGGGGTAATTGTCCTCGGGGTAGGTGTCCTCGGGGGGGGGGGGTAATTGTCCTCGGGGGTTAATTATCCGGGGGTTAATTTTCCGGGGTGGGGGGGGGGGGGGGGTAATTGTCATTGGGGGGGGGGGGGGTTGTTGTCCCATGGGGTATAATTCTCCAGAGGGTAATTTTCCGGGGGGTAATTTTCCGGGGTGATTGTCCAGGGGGTAATTGTCGTAGAACCTTCTTGGGGAGAACTCACCTTTCTTAGAGTTTCAGTTTCTTTCACAATTTTCTCGCTGTTATTGCAGATTTTAATCGCTTCATGGAGACACGTCTGTCCTTCAGGTGACTTGATATTGAGATCAGCTCCCTCAGAAACTAACTTCTCAATGGTAGAGATGTGACCGTGTTGGATGGCAATATGGATATCCATTAAATCAGTCTGGTCAAGCTGGACATAAGAAAATACGTAGTATGAAAGCTTGAGAATGAAAAAGAAATATTAAATATTGACAGGTGATCAAGTAAATCCAATGATTTGAGAAATTATAATTGTCTATAAAATCTTTGAAACAGCAGTGAGGTCTAACTGGAGTTTTAATTATGTACTATCATTATTGGCGATACAAAGACAGTAAGTCTGCCTCGAGCTGGTCAAGTATGATAAAAAAAAAAAAAAAAGGATAGGTAGCTAATGCATTATCTGCTCTAAATTAAATTTCAGTACTTGTCATTTCACATTCACATCAGGGTGGATAAATTCGACATAACTGTGTGTATTGTTTACCTTGGCATTGGAACAGTTCGTGAATAGATCAGCAATGCTTTCGTACCCAAGGACTAAGGACAGATGTAGAGGTGTCTGGTCGTGAATGTCTCCTATGTCAAAATGTGCTCCTCCTGCCATAAGGACTTTAACAACATCAAGGTAACCATTCTGCACAGCATGGTGTAATGCAGTCATACCATCATTATCTTCCTCATTCTGCTCAGCTCCTTCAATGATCAGATATTTGGTGACATCAATGTTACCATTCTGTGCAGCAAGTTGTATTGCAGTCCTGCCCTTATCAGTAGACTTATTCACCTCAGCTCCTTGACTGATGAGATATTTGGTGACATCAATATGACCCACCTGAGCAGCAATGTGTAATGCAGTTCGGCCCTTATAATCTCCCTTATTCACCTCAGCTCCTTGAATGATGAGACATTTGGTGACATCAAGATGACCATTGAAAACAGCACTGCATAATGCAGTCCAACCTTCATTATCTCCCCTATTCACCTCAGCTCCTTGACTGATGAGATATTTGGTGACATCAAGATGACCGTTAAACGCAGCACCACGTAATGCAGTCCTACCGTTATTATCAGCCTCATTCACCTCAGCTCCTTTGCTGATAAGATATTTGGTAACATCAAGATAACCCTCCTGAGCAGCACTGTGAAATGCAGTCCAACCGACATTATCTCCCCTATTCACCTCAGCTCCTATGTAGGTAAGATATTTGGTGAAATAAAGATGACCATTGAAAGCAGCACTGTGAAATGCAGTCCAACCGACATTATCCCTCTTATTCACCTCAGCTCCTTGGGTGATGAGAAATCTGGTGACATCAAGTTTACCCTTCCAAACGGCAACGTGAAATGCAGTCCTCCCGTCATTATCTCCATCGTTCACCTCAGCTCCTTGGCTGACAAGATATTTGGTGACATCTAAATGACCATTGAAAGCAGCAACGTGTAATGCAGTCCTATCGTCTTTATCTCCCTCATTCACCTCAGCTCCTTGGCTGACGAGATATTTGATGACATCTAGATGATCATTGAAAGCAGCAACGTGTAAGGCAGTCCTATCGTCTTTATCTCCCTCATTTACCTCAGCACCTTGGCTGACGAGATATTTGGTGACATCAAGGTGACCCTCCTGAGCAGCACCGTGAAATGCAGTCCAACCGAGATTATCCCCCCTATTCATGTCAGCTCCTTGGCTGATGAGGTATTTGGTGACATCAAGATGACCATTAAAGGCAGCAACGTGTAAAGCAGTTCTACGGTTATTATTTCCCTTATTCACCTCAGCTCTTTGGCTGATGAGATATATGGTGACATCAAGATGACCATTGAAAGCTGCATTTCGTAATGCAGTCCTACCGTCATTATCAATCTCATTCACGTCAGCTCCTTGGCTGACAAGATATTCAGTGACTTCAAGATGACCATTGAAAGCAGCAACGTGTAATGCAGTCCTACCAAAATGATCCCCCCTATTCACGTAAGCTCCTTGGCTGATGAGGTATTTGGTGACATCAAGATGATTCTCCTGAGCAGCACTGTGAAACTCAGTCCAACCGACATTATCTCCCCTATTCACCTCAGCTCCGTTGCTGATAAGATATTTGGTAAAATCAAGATCACCATTGAAAACAACACTGTGTAATGCAGTCCTACCAAAATTATCTCCCCTATTCACCTCAGCTCCTTGGCTGACAAGATATTTGGTGACATCTAAATGACCATTGAAAGCAGCAACGTGTAATGCAGTCCTATCGTCTTTATCTCCCTCATTCACCTCAGCTCCTTGGCTGACGAGATATTTGATGACATCTAGATGATCATTGAAAGCAGCAACGTGTAAGGCAGTCCTATCGTCTTTATCTCCCTCATTTACCTCAGCACCTTGGCTGACGAGATATTTGGTGACATCAAGGTGACCCTCCTGAGCAGCACCGTGAAATGCAGTCCAACCGAGATTATCCCCCCTATTCATGTCAGCTCCTTGGCTGATGAGGTATTTGGTGACATCAAGATGACCATTAAAGGCAGCAACGTGTAAAGCAGTTCTACGGTTATTATTTCCCTTATTCACCTCAGCTCTTTGGCTGATGAGATATATGGTGACATCAAGATGACCATTGAAAGCTGCATTTCGTAATGCAGTCCTACCGTCATTATCAATCTCATTCACGTCAGCTCCTTGGCTGACAAGATATTCAGTGACTTCAAGATGACCATTGAAAGCAGCAACGTGTAATGCAGTCCTACCAAAATGATCCCCCCTATTCACGTAAGCTCCTTGGCTGATGAGGTATTTGGTGACATCAAGATGATTCTCCTGAGCAGCACTGTGAAACTCAGTCCAACCGACATTATCTCCCCTATTCACCTCAGCTCCGTTGCTGATAAGATATTTGGTAAACTCAAGATCACCATTGAAAACAACACTGTGTAATGCAGTCCTACCAAAATTATCTCCCCTATTCACCTCAGCTCCTTGGCTGACAAGATATTTGGTGACATCTAAATGACCATTGAAAGCAGCAACGTGTAATGCAGTCCTATCGTCTTTATCTCCCTCATTCACCTCAGCTCCTTGGCTGACGAGATATTTGATGACATCTAGATGATCATTGAAAGCAGCAACGTGTAAGGCAGTCCTATCGTCTTTATCTCCCTCATTTACCTCAGCACCTTGGCTGACGAGATATTTGGTGACATCAAGGTGACCCTCCTGAGCAGCACCGTGAAATGCAGTCCAACCGAGATTATCCCCCCTATTCATGTCAGCTCCTTGGCTGACGAGATATTTTGTGACATTAAGACGACCCATCTCAGCAGCAGTGTGTAATGCATTTACGCCGTCTTTATCTCCCCTATTCACCTCAGCTCCTTGGCTGATGAGATATTTGGTGACATCAAGGTGACCATTTTGAACAGCAGAGTGTAATGCATTCACGCCGTCTTTATTTCCCCTATTCACCTCAGCTCCTTGGCTAATGAGGTATTCGGTTACATGAAGATGACCGTTAAAAGCAGCAACGTGTAATGCAGTTCTGCCGTTATAATCTCCCTTATTCATCTTAGCTCCTTGGCTGACGAGATATTTGGTGACATCAAGGTGACCCTCCTGAGCAGCACCGTGAAATGCAGTCCAACCTTCATTATCTCTCCTATTCACCTCAGCTCCTTGACTGATGAGATATTTGGTGACATTAAGACGACCCATCTCAGCAGCAGTGTGTAATGCATTTACGCCGTCTTTATCTCCCCTATTCACCTCAGCTCCTTGACGGATAAAATAGTGCATTACATTAATATGGCCATTCCTTGCAGCGCTGTTTAATGCAGTGTAGCCGTCCTTGTCTTCTTTGTCCATATTTGCTCCATGAATTAGTATATATTTTGTTGCTTTAAGACGTCCGAGTGATGCAGCCAGATGTAAGGGTGTTTGTCCATCTGGAGTCGCCTTCTCCACATCAGCACCTTGATGTATGAGATACTCCACGACATTCTCATGGCCATACTGGACCGCTAAGTGTAAGGGTGTGTTTCCATCTTGGTCTGTGTGGTTTATGTTAGAATCCTGTTTTAGCAGTCGTTTTATATCTTTGATTTTACCCTTCAATGCTGCCTCAAGAAGCTGTTGATTTATGTCCCCCATATTTGAAGAAGCACCAGTTTACCAGACATCCTAATCTAGCATAGTTCCTTGTTATCGCCAACTTTTCTCTCTAGACGCTCGACTTCGAAATGTTACGATTAAGAATTTTTTTTTTGGTAGCAGAAAGTCTCGTTGTGTTCTGCATGTTACAAGCATATGCATACACCACGCTGATTTTTGTTTCCTCGCATAGTGCAGTTGTTATTTTTGTCGTTTTCAACAAGTTCCAAAGTCCAGCGCAGTGAACAAAGTCGTATTCAATTAATATAAAGCGCGAGTGCATTATCTCACTCTTTCGGCTGGTGAAGTGTAAACGTCGGTCCCCAGACGTAAATAATCATATCTGATTGATACACGTCTGTACAAAAAATCAATACACACACACACACACACATGCGCACATATACTTACATTGGGTGGAAATCGGGGACAGGTTTTTTGTACCGTTAAGTGGGGATATTATAATAAACGCCCTGACAACGTTGACTCGTTTTGATTTATATTTCATTTATTGCCTCAATTCATAAAGTGAACCGAAAGTTTGATAAGGGGATTTATTTTGAAGAGAGTACTTCACATTCCAATTGAGGCCCAAAAGAATACACATGTGTGTCGGTTGTGTGAACGTTTCACTGATAAATAGAGAAAATGTGTATGCATGGACTAGGAGATAATTTCACATTCCAACTGGAGCCCCCAAAAATACACAGGTGTATCGATCGTGGACTAGGAGAAAATTGCACATTCGAACTGGGGATCACATAAATACGCAGGCATAGCATGTTGGTTGCGTTAGCGTTTCATTATTAAATACATGAAACGTTTGTACTGGGAGAGACTATACCGACTGGGGAATGCACAGGTGCGTCAGTCATGTGAATGTTTAGGGAATGATATATGGATTAGGAGAGAATTTCACATTTCAACTCATTAGGAAAACATCTCATTTTAACTCAGCTGACCAGTTCACCAATTGTCCTTGTGCTACCATGATCTGATAAGGAGGCAAATAGAGCAGTGACCACTGATAAAGGAATTGCCATATGATTAGGGTCCATAGGAGACAGACAGCGGTCAATCACTAGTTTGCAGGCACAAACCCAGGTCAGTCGTAAAAGAGAGACTACACTATAAGACTACCATATAGGCCATAAACTATAGCTGCTCCTGACACAGTAGGTAGCTGGGCTAGGCTTCTCTCAAGGCACGATGATTTGTTGATAAAGTGTCGAATTAGGGTCTTTGCTTGCAGACTAGTCAATCACAGCCTAGTTACTGATGAAGGAATATCTCGACATACTCAGTCCAGATTCATAGTCTTGATAGTCATTGCAGACCCTTCACCTATACTTATAGTAAGCCTGGAGTACTGAGACATACAATTCAGTGTGTCTAAAGTCTAACTTGTTATTGTTTTTAGCAAGTGCTAGTTTAGCTTTGTTCACGTATAGACGAGAACATTGATGTGCTTGGCAATGAAATACTACATGTTGTAATGTACATGTTATTCATTCACTATTATTATTGTTATCACCGTCATCATCATAAATTATCATCAAGGAGTAGGAAACGGCCATATCTTAAGGTTCATCCCTGGCCTAAGAATTTTTTATTAAAAAAAATAAAAAAAAAAATAAATAAAAGCCTACTAACGACCAACAAAAAGAAGGTTCGAGGACAATCAGATGATACCGTGTGGATTCAATTTGTTTCATTGATTTAGTTACCAACAGTGATATCCAATACAATGAAAATTTGTGTTTGTTAAAAACCATTTTCATGACGAAATCGTAAAGAGGGAGATAAAAAAAAAAGGACAGAAATAGAGGGAGAGAGAAAGGGAAGAAGAAGGTCAAGAGAGAAGGATATATGAACAGAAAGCGGTAGAGAGAGAGAGAGAGAGAGAGGGGGGGGGAGAGAGAATAAAAAAGAAGAGAGAATGATATACCTTTCAAATCAAAAGTTTTTCCGGAGAAATCCTTGATTTCAAAGGGGGTGGAGAAACATCAAGCCGTGAGGATTAAATATCCATTGTATATAACATGGCACAAAAGAAACCAAAACTCTAAATTCTACAATCCTTTAAAAACGACAATAATTAGCTGAGTGAACGCATCATAAAGAGGGCATTACAAGAGGTCAAAGGAATCCATTTTACAACAATAGTAAATGCAACCGTAATATTGAACAGATTTCCTTCTCTCTCTCTTTTTTAGTTGCGAGGGGGGGGGGGGGGGTAATGCCCACTCGGCCTCCGAATTTTACTAAGAAAAAGTGGTGTATTTATCAAATGTGTAAAATAATACTTTTATTAGATATATTCTCTCGACTGAATGAGTGAGCTACGATTTTTTACTCCCTATACTTAGTTCCGTTTTTTTGTGCGGTAAAATGTGCAGCTAGTATACCTATGCATCTTGAATCCTTTCAATTTAGTCGTTCTTGTTTGATACTACATTTGGAAGACCCGATAAAAATAGATTACAGTGAAAGCCATTACTGAAAATGTGTTTTCTATCAATATAATCAGGGCGGAGATCCCGGGGGGACCGGGGGGGGGGGGACCGGGGGGGGGGGGGGACACGTCCCACCTCAATTTTTAAGGGGGGCGGGATCGTCCCCCCCCCTCCTCAAAATTCGACAAAGTGCAAAAATATGTGTAGCAAATACTGACTAAAGACTGCAACACACTTTTAGGCTCTGGAGGGCCTAAGAGTGCAACGTTTAGAAAAATAAAATTGCAAAAATCTTCTCGCTCGGGAGTTACGCTCCCTGTAATAATATCCTTGAAAATGTAAAAGTAAATGCCGAGAAAAGTGAAGTGTGAAAAAAGTATATTGCTTGTCTTTAAAATATAGTTTTGCTAAGGACTGTTATTTTCTAATACAACAAAACTTTAAAAACATGTAAGGGGGTAGTCACTTCCGTCACCTTCTCCCCTCTAATTTACTATTGCTCCCTCGCACCTGCGTACTGATGGGGGGGGGGGGGGTGGGGGAAGTTCCCCCCCAAATAAAATTCAAACGTGCTTATGTCTAATTGCTACCAGTGATTTGCAAATGTTCCTGGCATGATTTTCCCTGAGCTTCCGGGGGCTCTGCCCCCTGGACCCCACCAAGGGCCCTATAGGGGGTCCCTGGTTGCTCATCTGATTGTAGTTTAATGCCTTAAACCCCTGAGCTTCACGGGTCTCCGCCCCCTGAACCTGCTCCAATTAGTGACCTGCATGCCAGTATCACAATATGCTCATCTGACTGTAAATATATGCCTAAACCTCTGAGCTTCATCGGGCTCCTGGACCCCACTCCAAATCATGAAAGGAAAATATGTACATTGTTTGGAGGAGTGCAAAACACCTATCAAGTCTATTGTAGATCAATAGAGTTTTGTGCATGATCGGATGTGGTTGCACGCTCAATTTGGTGATGATAACCCATACCGTGCCAATAAATCACTTTTGTTCAGGCCCTGCAAGTAAATAGCATACATTAATTCTGCATGGTATTCTAAGAGTTAATTTGTAGGGGGATTTCCCCTTTTGATTATATGGCGCCTGCTTTCGGCATCTCTCTTAAAATACTGTAGGGCATACCATTGTGCGTGTGTACACCCCATGAGTTATATCCTCTTTGTTATTTAGTTTGTGACCAAATCAAATTCACGAAGTGAAAGAGACTTCAGTCATGGCTTATCTCTTTACAAATAGTTCAACAAATTATTGAACTCTGTCATTCTGTTCGGAAAGATTTTACTTTATATTGGCTTTCATTAGTGTACCAAACAAACATACATGTTCTACTTCTACCTAACGTGTGTAAAATTGTACTCAACTCTGTGTACTGAAATACAGTTAGACTCAGTGTATAGACTATCAATTTCAGAGATTGATAATTTATTTTCTATTAACGTCTTCTTTCTCTAAATTAGGAAATTACGGTTGAAAATTTAGGAAGTTTTACAGTCTAAATCCAACGTTAAAGATAAATTAGTTCAGTAATTCAGATGCAATGGAGGGTTTTAATCTCTCAAATTATAGTGTTTTTCCTGATGATTTGATGCAAATCAAATGGGTTTGTGAGGAAGGGTGAATTATGAGGTAACTAAATCATGTGTCTTCCACTTTACCGGGCCCGTGGCGTGACTCGAGAAGAAGAAGAATCATTTGTTTGGATATGACACGGCACTTCTGTATGTTATAACACAGAGCCAAACGAAGACGCCTATGACCATTGTTGCGCCCAGTTGCCATTTAATTGGGAGGCGAGATGAGGGGGGGGGGGGGGTAGGGCGTTCCGCATCATATCTAAACGAACCTTAACAAAAACAAACCAAACAACCATTGGATTAAAAAAAAAATCATTTATTTTCTGGCGACTTCCACATGTCGATCGGGATCCAAACTAACTTTTAACTCAGAAGTAACACAAATAACTGGATAAACAAAGCGTCCATTTTTTTATATCAAGCTCACTCCCTAGGACGTAGCTGGCGCTCTGATTATCAAATGATATCTCATTGTGACAATTTATATGAATGAAAGGCTAGGTTGGTATCCTGCATTAATGACAATGCTATTTATTATTGATATAATCATTATTGTTTTTATTATTATAATCATTGTGTTATTATTATTTTAATCTTTAATATTATGAGAGAGAGAGGGGGGATAAAAGAGAGTGAGGGGAGCAAATTAAAATTTTGTGCAAAGAGAGGTGGAGAAAATAAAAGAGAGAGAGAGGGAGAGAGAGAGGGAGGAGACAGATAGAAAACAAAAGAAAATCAGTGAATGGGTGTCAGGCAAATTATATTTGAATGAGGGCGCTCTTTCGATTTATCTTTCACGGATACAATAACACACCAAAAAATAAGAACACGGCGAACAACAAAACTCAGTTTCAGCGAACGATTCACAAAGTAGCCAACGATAGCACATCTTTTTTTCTTCAAGGAAACGCTAACCCAAGCAAGTCTAATGAATTCTACTTCACGAAAATTAAAAA